TAAGATTCAATGAGAAGCACATCGCATAATTTGTGGAAAATGCTCACTTATTCACATTTACATGAATCTTGAAAGATCACCTAAGCTAGCGGTAGATATATTAAAGGATTAAAACCGTTGATTACGGTTTAACGCTATTTTTCTTTTTTTAGCATGGTTTAGAGATTATGTTGTCAAATATTGATAAGGTTGTTCTTTTTCCCATTTTCCTAAGTAGATGCCAAATATATATTATTTTGGTTTGGATTTCGTATAGACCAAATCCAGGGGTGCTTAAAATTAGAATTATATATATGTCATGTGGTCCACAAGATCTCTCATGCTGGGATTTACCTTTACTTAACTTTACTAATTTTACAAGTGATTTTATAACTCATGTTTTCAACATAAAATCAAAACCAAATCTCAAAGAGATCTTATTTTGGCAAGGAAAAGGATTAGCACATACATATAGCCATATACAATAAGCATGTCTTGTACACACCAAGACATATTTTCTTATTTATGAACCAATAACAATTTATAAATTCAAATATCTCAATTCATACTTCTTAAAATTTACAGATTATTCATATTAATGAATTAAAGTAGATAGAGAATAAATTTTAATGAAACAACAACAAAAACCATCCATAAAATTGATGATTACCCGTCAAATTTTAGAACCAGTTATCATTAAGTTATTTCTCAATGAAATGTATTATTATTAGATTATATTCACCTTTGAGAAATTGGTGAAATATCTAGGTAAAGAACTAAAAATATGTTTCAACTAATTGAGTTGTTAAAGTATAATCGTTTGGTTAATGTATAATTCTCCGATATTAAATTTCTAGTTTATTTTGATTTAATTGGATGATTTAAAATTTGGTTTTCGAATGGTATACAAATGTTGTTCAGATACTTATTTGGAGTAAAAATAAAGTTTACTAGATTTGGATGTTTTTTTTCTTTTTATTGACATAAAAACAACAAACTATGACATAATCGGGAAGATACTAAGAGTTAATGTATTTATATGGGAAATGAGATAGGTAGCAAAAGAATTTATCAGGATATTGAAAAGTTAGAGAAAATATCGTATGTGAATTAACAACAACAAGGTTTTAAAGTGTTGTTTCGTCTTTCATTATAAATATTCCAGTACAATTACAAATTTTACAATTACAACGACAAATTAATATAATAATTCACACTTCACTAGTCATTCTCCTCAAGCGTACTTTTAAAATCAATACTATTTGGATATATTTGGAGGCCATTGTAAAAGAAAGGGGAAATTAACGTGAAGACTAAAAAAAATAAAAAAAATAAAAGACAGAGTCATTGTCTTAATAGTTTGATAAAATCATTATCATGGTATTTGAAACCCTACTCAGTCTAACTCTTGCCAAAGTCCAGAAAAGAAATATAACAATGTCACACAACACACATGCCATGTGACAATTGCTAGCCGGTGATGTGGACCTTCTTAGCACTGATTAAGAAATTATTTGGTTAGTTTCCCAACTGATACAAACAAGTTTCGTGATATGGGTCTAGTCACTTTTAACAAAAAACAAAACACAAAAATTTCATTATATATATGGATCACTTTTTTATAAAGAAAAGTCTACATGTATATTTTCTTCTGCTATCTGCTGCACTAACAAATACTAACAAATACACACCTAAATGCATATATATACATGTCTAACTATATATCTATTATATATGTAACAATATATATATATATATATATGTGTGTGTGTGTGTGACGAAACAAAGTTTTAAAAAAATTATATTATTAAAGTTTTTAAAATTATATTATATCAAATTATTAATCATTCTCATTCGATCTCAAAGGTTTGACATGACCACCACAAGCAATCTCACTTGCCATGTTTTTTGTTTTTGTGTTATATGTGTAGTATATACACTGATACACACATATGTACATATAATAAATTAACGAGCTGTTTTAAAAAATAAAAATCGATTTTGGGTAAAGAAAAAAAGCTCATGAGAGTTTGTAGTGGACGTGATTTTATAAATAATTGTTCATGTGTAAAAAAGGCATATGTCCTCAAACAAGTTGATCAACAAAAAATAGCAATATAGTAGGAACACCTAGCTAATGATGAAATAATCATATGAGGGATACAATCCATAAAACAAATTCTAGCAATAACACCTATTTTAATGATGGAAAATCACGAATACCTCATTTAAACACAATATATCAACTAATAAAAGTCTAAAACCCGCATAAATTAGTTTTTTTTTTTTTGTATTTTCACAATCAATGGATTAATTTGCATTTTGTCCTTAACTTAATAGTAAACCACACAAAAATCTATGAATACTTCCATGGATTTATTTGCATTTTGTCCTTGCGTAATAGTAAACCACAGAAAAATAATTTAATTTTTTCTTACAAATTTATGTTTGGACCCAAAAAGCTGTCAACGTCAGAAGAAAAAAGAAAGGACCTACAGCTCCTAAATGTTGCCGCCTGTCCTCTTCACATCCTATGCTTAAAATTACACTGTTTAAGAATTAATCTTCCCTGTGACTGTGATCCCATCTTTAATATTCTGTTTTTATTTTAATGGACCATAGAGTTTAAGTTTAACTACTATAGTATAGAAGTAGGTAATGCCATATTAATATACATCATTCATTTCTAATATATAGAATATAAGATATGGTTACAATTCTAAATCATCCGATGTTATTTATATAAAAGCTTTTAATAAAAAAAAAAAAAAAAAAGATTCGGAGGGATAAAAATAATTGAAGTGGATGTGGGGTGCTCGTCCGTACAAAAACATGGACCCCCGGACGATATACTGTAGTACGTACAAGACACAAGTCGTTTCCGATGTTAGTTCTAAGATTGGGTTGTAGTTAAACTTGTTCCCAAACACTCTTGCCTTAAGAAGATAAAAGAGTTCTTTTACAAGGAAAGATATAATACTTACTAGATTAGTAAACGGAACGAAACGAACAGTTTATTGTCCTTAGGAACCAACGAGGAAGGGGAATAATATCTCTCTCTGGGTTTGTTTTTATAACCGAACAGATCCGATCAGTTCTGTTTTGTCTCTTTAGCTGCCACAATTACGACTCTGTCCCCCTCTTTCACCAGACATCAAGCATTTCTTTTCTTTAGTTTTTCTCCACATTTCATTCTCTTTCTCAAGTTTACGGTATATATATACTTTAAGAGAATCATCGAATAGAGTAAAAGAGATGTTAATTAATGTATGACTAAGATTCATAAGCTTAACGCTCTTAACCTTGGGAAACAATGTGAGCGAAATGCAAGAACGTAACATCATTGTTAGGACATTCCAAATATGAAATAGTAACGTTGTTCATTAGTTTCCCCCCCCCCCCCCCCAATTTTCTATCGAATTACCCATCATTAGTTTATATACGAAACTTTAATTTGAAGTCATATATATAGAGTGAATTAAGCATATTTCTTGAAAGTATTGAATACACACGTTTCTTTCAGTTAAATATTAAAACCAAAAAACAGATTCTCTTGTATATAAGGTTATATATTCATAAACGTGTTAGCTAAGGAGGAGGGCCACATCCACATCCACATCCATATATATGCGCCAAACGAATCATAATTGGCGTTCTGCATATTTATCTCCATCTGTCTTATGACACCCCCCAAAAAAAAAAGAACTTAGATATATACTTATTAATTGTGCATGAAACTAGAGCTACGTTTCCTCGCTATTCCCCATTCATTTTACTTTCAAACGTTATCCACGCTTCTTCTAAGTTCTAAGTTTCTAACATCATGTATGCATATGCTTTTACCTAAAAAAAACATCATGCATATGTGATTCGTTTTATATTTCTATAGCGCATTTCAGAAACTGAAGCTAGCAAGTATTCTCGACCGACAACATATATATGAATACTTCTCAAGTTCTCATCATGATACTCTTTACTATATTAGCAAACTAAACTTTGCCAACCGCGAGAAAAGTTGGATTAATGTCATGCAACATATGTGGAATTATTAATAAAGTCCAAGCTGAAAAAAGTTGATACAGTGATCAAATCCACAATGAATCCCGTTTTGTAAACGTTCAAATAACAAAACAAAAAACTAAATAAGCGAGATGAGAGATATCCAATATACATTAATTGAATCCAAAGCTTGGAACGTAACGTAACAAGAAGCCACACAACGCCACCAACATCCTAGTAACATACTAGGTTGGGTCCCTTCCAGCCTTTGTATCATCTCCTCTTTATTAATGACCTTTATTAGGTATCTTCATAGTCGGTATAAATGTACATAGGGTCCGCACAAATTGGTACACTCCCCCTTTTTTTTTGAAAATAACAACAACTAGTATTATATAGTGGTATGATTTGATAGTAAACTAAACTCAGTGTGTGTGTGTTTTGCTTCAATAGCTGAGTTTTCTTCTTGTGGTGTTTCAAAGCTTTCATTCATATGTTCCCATGAGTGCTCTCTCTAGTTCAACTCTCACTCACGAGGAAGACAGACAAAATGTTTTTCAACAAAAAGGAAATGTATTAGTATCAGTGCAAAAGAATGTATCAACAAATACATATCCAACAAATAAATGTATTTACCACCCTAATAAATGGAAATTAAGAAGATAGAAAAGAAAATAAAAATTGGGGGAAAAAGGAGGAAGCTACTGCTACACTTTCAAGCACGTGACAACGTCCCACACGTGTCATATCGCTTACGTCATCAAAGTCATCTGTTGCTTCCTCTCTTTCATTTCTCTGTTTACCTCCTCTCCTTTCCGCACCCGTTGAAAAAGTACAATCAAATAAAAAAAAACCCCCCGAGTTACCCACCCACAGTCAAAAAAGGTGTCTGTAAATAACGCATTTTTACTGTTATAACCTCACACGCATAAATACCCCTCACCAACTCTCATACTGCCCTCTCTCTCTCTCTCTCAAAACTCGTCTCACAACTTCTCCTTCTTCCTTTTCTCTCTCAACTTCTGAGACCAAAAAAATCAAACTTCTTCTTCTTCTTCGTCTTCTTCTCAATCATAAACCCTAAATCTTCATCTCTTCTTATATAGAAGAAATCAATGCCCTTTCACAAGGATTCTGTTGGGTTTCATATCTTTCACTAGTCTTCTCTGTTTTCAGATTTCTTGAACCCATTTCTTGATTTAACGATGTTACGAGAATCAGACGGCGAGATGAGTTTAGAAACAACAAACTCACCTATCAGCAGCGGAACTGAGAGTTGCAGCAGTTTCAGCCGTTTATCTTTCGACGCGCCGCCCTCATCCACCGCTGTTATCCCCGAAGAAGAAAGCTTTCTCTCTCTCAAACCACACCGATCCTCTGATTTCGCTTACTCTGAGATCCGACGTCGCAAAAAAAACGGCCTTACCTTCCGAGATTTTCGCCTCATGCGTCGTATCGGCGCCGGAGATATCGGCACCGTCTACTTATGCCGTCTAGCTGGAGACGAAGAAGAGAGCCGGAGCTCTTATTTCGCTATGAAAGTTGTGGACAAAGAAGCGCTCGCGTTGAAGAAGAAGATGCATCGAGCGGAGATGGAGAAATCCATTTTGAAAATGCTCGACCATCCTTTTTTGCCGACTCTTTACGCCGAGTTTGAAGCTTCGCATTTCTCTTGCATCGTCATGGAGTATTGCTCCGGCGGTGATTTACACTCTCTCCGTCATAAACAGCCTCACCGCAGATTCACCCTTTCCTCCGCCAGGTAAACAAAAAAAAGAAATCATATTTTTATATATTTGTATAATAGTCAGATTTTTAAAATAATACTTTTTTTATAAAAAAAACATAGTCATCATGAACAATGTAATGTTGTTTTTATTTATTTTTGGTTGCATGCATTGACTCTGTACATAATTTTGTTATCTTGTTCTGCAAGAACAGACCTGTTCTTATCATGTCGGTCTTTTCCAGTTCTTTGAATTCTTATGAAAGAGTCTTTTTCAACCCATCACAATTATTATTTCTTCTTTTAACCTTAATTATTGAACTTACATGTTCTTATTTTAATTTTTGTTATTTTTTTTTGGTTATTACAGATTTTACGCAGCAGAAGTTCTAGTAGCGTTAGAATATCTACACATGCTTGGTATCATCTACAGAGATCTAAAGCCTGAAAATATCTTAGTTAGATCGGACGGTCACATTATGCTCTCTGACTTCGACCTCTCCTTATGCTCCGACTCTATCGCCGCCGTTGAATCTTCCTCATCGTCGCCGGAGAATCACCAGCTACGTTCGCCGCGGCGGCTCACTCGTCTCGCTAGGCTATTCCACCGTGTCTTGCGGTCAAAAAAGGTTCAGACTTTAGAACCGAACCGTCTCTTTGTTGCTGAACCGGTTACAGCCCGGTCCGGTTCGTTCGTTGGTACGCATGAGTACGTGGCGCCAGAGGTGGCTTCAGGTGGGTCGCATGGTAATGCCGTTGACTGGTGGGCCTTTGGAGTGTTCCTCTACGAGATGATATACGGCAAAACTCCGTTCGTAGCGCCGACCAATGACGTCATCCTCCGTAACATAGTGAAAAGACAGTTGAGTTTTCCGACAGATTCGCCGGCGACGATGTTCGAGCTCCACGCGAGGAGTTTGATATCCGGGTTGCTTAACAAAGACCCGACCAAACGACTCGGGTCAAAGCGAGGGGCGGCGGAGGTCAAAGTACATCCTTTTTTCAAAGGTCTAAACTTTGCACTCATTCGCACACTGACACCGCCGGAGATTCCTTCATCCGTCGTCAAGAGGCCGGTAAAATCGGCGACGTTCGGTGGTAGAAGTAGTAACAAACCAGCGGCGTTCGATTACTTTTGATATTTTGAACGGTTGAGATTAGCGTCCACGTGGGTAGTCGGCTCAGGTCGGTGCCAGGTTCTTTGGTGACTGCCTTGTGACGATAGCTGTTTTAGCTGTACATATTCCCTCGAAGCTGTCCTCTTTTTTTTTTTTTTTCCTTTTCCAGTCTTTAAATTTTAATATTTTTGTTAATCTGACTTAATATATCCTTAGGTGACATTTTCACGCGATTTGTACAACAAACCTGATTAGTCTGAACTCTGAACTACTAATTAATCATCCATTTTATAGTCATCATTATCAAATCTTTGGAACTTGGGAACATCTGTTTAACAGTTAATGAGTAATGACTAAATCAAGCATTATATAATTGACCAATTTTAGTCAAACACTTTTACAAGTTTTGATTACAACTCCTTTTTTCACCGCTATGTTAAAATATTATAGAAACTCGTCACGCCTAGACATTTTATTAGTTTTGACGGGTGTAATATAGTATAGAAAAAGAAAAGAAGAAGATTCCACTTTTGACAATTGTAACACAACACATGGATGGAAGTCATATTTTGCTATTTGATTAACCTCTACGAAGAGTCTTTCGAATGTCAAAAGAAAGAAACAAACGTTATCCATAAGTGTGGTAGGCAGCTGCTTTACAAGATCCGACCAGTTGCATGATCTCTCTTCTTCTGCTTTGGAATCCCTTTCTGTTTAGTTTCAACTTAAAAAAAAAGAGAACAATAAACTATTTATAGACGACGGCAAAGGGTAAAAGACGAAATTGGTTTCTTCATATAAAGGCATGATAAAGCATTCTTCTAATAATACCCGTTTAAGCTTATCTAGACTAGTATCATTCTTTTGTTTATATACCATTGAAAGTTTTCACTAGATACATTCATTTGATTGCATGCCATTCATATTTAATCATAGGAGTTCAATACAACATATATTATCTTTGTATGAGCAATATTAGAATGGACCAAAGATATATATATATATATATATATATCCAACATCGGATTATTTTTTAACCGTTTGCACATATTCATATAATTAATCGGAGCATGAAGAATCTTTAATTAAGGAGATAAGCAAGTAGGTGAATAATTCAGCAGAAAAATTTGGGCATGTTTGAAGCATGTTCCCAAGTAGTACTCATCCCATTGCATAATGTAGCAATATTCTAGAAACTAACAAAAGGCCTTTGCCTTTGGATTGCGTAAAGAGGATTTGTCTCCAGACCAATTACTCTCACTCATTCTACGTATTAAATACTAGTAGTAAAAGTGTGTAAATTAAACAAGATTAAAACAAACCAAAAAGAGAGAGAGGGAGAGAGTTAACTAGCTAGATGGTTTTTGTCTATCATATTAGTAACACAGACAATATACTTACTTGACTTGCTCACATGATATTCACTCACATCGTCGAGCATTGATGAAGATATAGTACAGTGTTCAACCAACCAACCAACCAACATTGCTTAATTTACCTACCTCTCTTATTAATTGTTTTTACATATATACTCCATGATATGCCAAATGCTCATAATAAACAAATAAGTGTGAATCAGTAACATAATGTGGTAAATATGAGCATATAATAAAAAATACATACTAAAAAAAAAAGAAAAAAACAACCTTTGTTGACTATAGAGTTTTTGTATGCATTTTACCAATTTATGAATATGAAAAGAGATTAGTAGTAATAAGTAGTCTAAGCCAAAAAAAAGCACTGAAAATGGAATGATTATATCATAATTAGAAACTATATATATATATCATAATTAGAAACTATATATATATATATATATATATATGGACACACATATCACAGTCAAAACGGTGACTAATACAGTAATTGTAGAGTTAGTAAAAAGGACATAAGAAAAAGGAAAAGGAGAGAAGCAGAAAAAAATGTAAAAAGCTGAAATGTCAATGATTAGACAATTCAATACAAGAAAAATTGTTAAGGACAATGCAATGGCATAGAAGTTTTGTCTCTCCTAAAATATGTAAACATGGACCACACACACTCAAGATTACCGTCACGTCTTCTGTTGTTAATTACACTTATTAATTTAGTTTAATTTTTATTTGTTGTTGTCACAATACTAATTTACCACGAGTTTTTCTTTTAAATAAGTAGATAATGAATACTAGTAATAGTTTACTCTTTACGCTTTGCAAAAGAGGTACTATTAAAATAAAACACAAGAACTCAAAAGTCAAAGTCTTTGGTTATGGGGAGAGGTGTTTCTTTCGCAGGAACCGAGGTTTCTGAGTAAACCCCCTTCTTGTCATTAAATTATTCCATTCTCACTCGCCTTCTTCGTGGACCTTATAAGAAACTTCCCTATGCTATTTAATTAGTATTGTTTCTCGTTTTCAATTATTGGATTAGTTAGTACTGAATTATGTTTTTTTTCTATATGATTAATTGATTGATATTGAATCAGTTTCACATCATAGATCTCTATATATATTTTAAAAAATATTCCTAAGTTAACACAACGTACACTAAACGTTGGTTCTTTGTGGCCAAGATACTACTATACAATGTGTATGCGCTTGAATGCTTTGGCCATATTCTTTCTATTCACGGCAATCTAAGGAGCAAGACAAAGTGCGTCTAAACCAAACCAACATTGACGTAGGAGTATCTCACTTGTAACTTGGTTGAACTTCAATCGTTTCAAGATACTTTTTTTTTTTTTTTTTTTTTTTTTTTTTGTCTACGAACCCCATACACTAGTTTATCGGAATTGATTCTCTTCGAGAGAGAGCCAAACGGGAACCGACAAACCTACATGGGAAAAACAGTACCCTCGAGCCCTTGCACATTTCGCAAGTTTATCGGCACTTAAATTTCTACTTCTAGAGATATGCCTAATGTTGAAGTCCAGGAAGGAATTTTGAAGATCCTTGAAGAGTCGAATTTCTGAGGCAAAAGCCGGCCAGACTTCTTCGCTTGCAAGCATTCTAGTCAAGTCCAAGCAATCCGTTGCAACGACGACGTGGGTCACCGATAGATTAACCAAACACCTCATTGTCCAAATAAGGGTATCTAACTCCGCATGGAGAGGCGAGAGGCTTCTCGGGGAGCATCTCAACCCAAGTTGGAAAGTCCTATCACCGATAGAAGCTATCCACCCGTGACCGCTTCTCTTATCTTTCTCGTGCCAGGAGCCATCAATAAAACACACTAAGACATTCCCCGGAGGAATCCACTCAGTTTCCATAATCACCCCTTCGCTCGGAACCACAACGGTGTTGGCTTTTCTCCATATGCTTCTTCTTGGATTGCTTTATCCAAAGTATCTTGGGGCGTCTCCATAATATTCTCAAAAATCATTTTATTCCGCGCTTTCCAAATATACCACATATACCATGGGAATACTCT